CTCCCCTGCGGCGCCCTCCCACCCCGGCACCCCCGCCTCACCTGCAGCTCCCGGCTCCGCGAGCACGCTGGCACACCCGGACGCCGAGAGGGGCAGCCCAACAATGCAGGCTGCCAAGCCCACGCGGTCGCCATGGAGACGCCCCTACGGAGTCTCGGAGGCGCCAAGCCGCACGGAGGGCGCGCAGCCGCGGAGAGAGTGGTGCGCCTGCGCATGCGGTCCCTGCACCGCCCGCCGACTCCGGCCGGGCACGTGGCGGCGTGGCCCCTGGCCTCCTGTGCGAGCCGGTGGGTGACGCACACAGGGGACACGTGTGCCTTAGTCCGGAGAGACGTGTGCACGAGGAAGGCCCTTGCGGCCGCCGGAGCGAGCAGGGCCAGAGCGGGCGCCCTCCTGGCTGACCACCGGCCTCCAGGGCCCGAGAGCCCTCCCCGTGGCCTGACCTCGCCGTCCGCCCCCGCGAGCCCTGGCTGCCCGGGATCGCTGCCGTCGCACGGACGCCCACCCACCCCATCCCCGCCCCTCTCCCACGGCAGCGTCCTCCCAGCAGCCCGCCGGTAGCCTTTGGGCTCCCCTCGGCCAGAGTTGCTTCCAGTCGCCAGCGAGAGCCGCGCAGGGGCCAGCGCCAGGCAGGATTCCCTCTGCGGCCGGCCCCTTGGCCAGGCGCCCAGGTGGAGGAGGGTGGACGCCAGGCAGACGCGGAAGCCCCGGGGATGACGTCCTTCAGGGAGCTGGTGCGGGGAAGGAGGGTGGCCGGCGGGACGGCCTCTGGAGGCTGTCGCCGTAGGGCTGGTGCTGCGGCTGCTGCGGGTGTCGGAGCCGGCTGCGGGGAAGGGAGGCTGGAGGAACACGTCCGGGTGGGGGAGGTGAAGCCAAGCTGGGACCCGAAGGATGGACTGGGCCGCGGGCCTCCTGCAGAAGGAGTTGGCGGCCGTCGTCACAGAACCGCACGCTCGGCTGCTGGAGCCGGAGAAGCCACCAGGCCTTGGGGGCCGGGGGGCAGCTACACACCTGCCTCCCACGAGGGAGGCGAGCCAGCAGATGTGTGAGCTGCGCCCACACCTGGGGCACCACCCTGACCTTCCAGGTGTGAAAACATTGCTGCAGCTGCTCCGCGCCCCCCGCCATACACCAAATCTCACCCAAAATGCCGCTGGTGGCCCAGGCGGGAAACCCTGTGGGAAAGGGAATTGGGGTGGGGGGAGGTGGTATTTGAGGCCAGCCAAGTTGACCTATCCCAAAGCCACCACAATAGCTGAAATTAAATTGGCGTCGCTGTTAGAAGTACTGCTCACTGGGCAGGCTGCCAAGAGTATCAGCTACAAAGGCCACTGAAGAGCTTTACGCAGACAAGGTAAGGTCCACCTTGTAAAAGATAACTCTCGGTTTCTGCTATGGAGATGGCACACCAGGTCATTATGACCAACCCTTCCACAAACGCGGGAGTGAAGAGTTCCTGAAAGGGTAACTTTTCCCCAGTGAGCACCTTTCTATTTGGGAGGCGCAGTAGAAAGCTGAGCTACTGAGCAAAGCTCCCAACAGACCAAAGACCAAAGAGATGAATTGTTCTTCTGAGACCACTACAGAGAGGGAGGGTCTAGTAAACACCCAGACTTTGGGTTGGGGCCCCAAAATGCCAGGCTCTAGGAAGAGTGGACTGGAAAAACACCAAACCTCATGGGGCCTGAAGCTCAGCTTCGGATCACGGCAGACCCTGATTGCATTAAGGTGACCTGGGGTGCTGGGTGTCTGGCTCCCTGCCAGAAGCAGATGTCAGAACTTTCTAGAGGGCAAGAAAATACCATCTTAGATCTCAAGTTATCTGCATGGTTTTAGAATGTGTAATGTGCATCACACACAAGGCAACATGAACACATGATCAAATCCCAAGAAGAACAAGAGAGAACAGAAACTGACCTATGGGTGGTCCAGATAATGAAGTCAGCAAGCATGCACTTTAAAATAATTAGGATTAATGTGTTCGAGGAAGCAGTGATACTAGAAATTATAGCAAGGAATCAAATTGGAATTCTGGATCTGAAAAATACAATAACAAAAATTGATTGGATTGGTTACTAGCAAATTACCTAGAGCTGAAGAGAGTGTTGGTGAAGTGGAAAGTCGGTCAGAAGATAATATCCATCAACACGCAGGGAGAGAAGTCATCACAGGGGACTCAGTGAACCAGTCTCGCACATTGGGTGAGAACGAGGTGGTCTTTGGCGAACCCAGCACCTGTCTGCCCTTGGAATGTCTCCTCTGCAAAGCAAAGTTTATGGGAACCTCTGGGCTGAATACTTGCCTATATGGTTACAGGTTCGCCAGCAAGGGGCTCTTGCATGAGGTTTGAAAGTAGAGGAGGACAGGCTAGTGATTTCTGGAGGCACACGCAATGATTAAGGGCAGGTGAGAAGTTCAGAGCAGCTTCCCAAGTGCTCCAGGTGGCAGGACAGGCACGGTATGGAGGCTACAGACATGCCTGTGGGAAAGGGGAGAAACCAGGAGGCACAAAGGGTGATTCTTCTGAAAAGTCTTCATTTTGATCTCACTCTTGGATGATGGTTAACTGCTATAGAATTCTATGCTGGCAGTTCATTTCTATCAGAATTTTATTTTATTTTTTTTAAAGATTTTATTTGTTTATTTGACAGAGAGACACAGCGAGAGAGG